CCAATCCTGTGGGACAGGAATACATCTCTCTGTTAATTCTTCCAAACTATTTTGTCCTAAAGAACATCTCTTATGTTGACGTTATTGCAGTGTAGTCCCTAAAAGAGTGAGTTAATGACTTATTGTGAATAAATGTTCCTAAAAATAATGCAACAGTATTCTTCATCCCTCCAACTGTAGAAATCTGAATGCTAGACCATGTAGAAGAGGCCATGGATTGTAGTGGGAAAATAGGGACAATACCTGAAGTTAGGGGATCTCAATGGTAGTCCTGCCTTGGCCACTTATGTCCTGTATGACCTTGAGCAAATTACTCAATCTCTTGGGGGTTTGATTTGCTCATCTACATGTAAAGGGGGCAGAGATTTTTGCCATGGTAACAGGAATTCTGAATTGAAGTCTCTGACTCCATCCCTTTCCCTCGAGTGTTTTTTGTACTTTCTTGTAGCTAAGAGGTTCAGGGCCATTTGCGGTACAGCTTGCTGTTCCAGTGCTAAGAATTAAATGGACAAAAGGAAATGATATGAGTGTTTATCTCCAGTCTCCGGGAAGGCACTGACCTCATGGGGGGGGGTGTCACAGTCAGTCAACAAGCATTTCTAATGAATGCCATGTGCGAGGCAATATGCTTTGACAAAAAAAGTCAAAATCATGGACTCTGCTCTCAAGGAGCTCACACACAGGCTAATGGGGGAGACAACATCTATCCATATCAGATATATAGTGTGATCTCAGGGAGGGTACTGGGAACGGGGAGAAATGGGAAAGGCCTCCTGCAGAACATGGGGTTTCAGCTGAGACTCGAAGAAAGATAAGGAAGCTAGGAGGCAAGGGCAAGATGGGCATTCCAGGCCTGGAGGACAGCTGATAGGAAGGCGGAGACACAGGAGATAGAGTGTCATGTGTAAGGAACAGCAAATAGGTCAGTGTGACTGGATCATAGAGTGTGTGGAGTGGGGAATGGCGCAAGGAGCTTGGAAAGGGAGGAGGAGACCAGGTTGTGATAGGCTTTCAATGCCAGACTTCCAGTAGAGGAAAATCACTTTGGCATTTGAGTGGAGGATGGATTAGATTGGGGAGAGGCTTGAGGGAAGGAACATTAGTTAGACAGCTATTACAATAGTACAGACAAGAGGTGAGAAGTGACTGAACTAGGTCGGTGGCTGTGTAAATAAAGAGAAGGGGATACATATATATGTATGTATATATATGTGTCTGCATACATATATATATGTATATATATATACATATATATATGTATGTAGACACACACACACACACACACACACACACACACACACACACACATATATATATATATATATATATATATATATATATATATATATATATTAGAGATATTGCGAGGGTAAAATTGACAAAATATGACAATGGTTTGGATATGCGGGGAGAGTGAGAGTGAGAGGTTGAGATTACAAGCGTGGGTAACTGGGAGGATGCCAGTAAGAAGAAATCTGGGAAGGAGTGTTTGGGGGCAAGAGAATCAGTTCTGTTTCAGACATACTGCATTTGAGATGCAGACGGGACATCCAGTTTAAAGTGTCTGAAAGGCAGGACTGAAGCTCAGGAGAGGAATTAGGACTGGATAGCTATAGATCTGAGCATCTGCTACATAGAGGTGATAGTTGAACCTACAAAAATTGATCACCAAGCAAGACAGCATAGAGCAAATGAGAAGAGGGTCCAGGTCCAAGCCTTGGAGGACACCCATAATTAGTAGGCATTATCTGGATGAAAGGTCACCAAAAGAGACTGAGAAAGGGCAGTCACACAGGCAGAAGAAGTGCCAGAAGAGAGCAGCATCACAAAAACCTTGAAAAAAATGTCTAGGAGACAGTTATTGACAGTATCAGAGAGGTCAAGAAAGATGAGGATTAAGAAAAGGCCATTAGATTTGAGAATTAAAAGATCATTGGTAATTAGAAGATAAGCAGAAATTTGGGGGGAAAGCTTTGCAGCAGATTTCTTAAATAAGAAGTCTCATTTCTAAGATATATAGGGAACTGATTTAATTTACTCCTTAAGAGCCATTCCCCAATTGATAAATGGTTCAGGGATATGAGTAGGCAGTTTTCAGAGGAAGAAACCCAACTTGTCAATAGCTATATTAAAAAAACCCTCTAAATCACTAATAATTAGAGAACTGCAAATTAAAATAACTATGAGGTACAACCTAATACCCATTAAATTGATAAAGATGACAAAAAAAGGAAAATGGCAAATGCTGGAGGGGCTGTAGGAAAACATGTACCTTAATGTATTATTGGTGGAGCTATGAATTGATCTAAGTCATTCTGGAAAGTGATTTGAAACTATGCCCAAAAAGCTGTTACACCGTATATACCTTTTGCCCCAGTGATACTGCTACTTGGTCTATACCACAAAGAGATGAAAGAAAGAGGGAACAGACCCAAAGGTATAAAAGTATTTATAGAAGCTCTTTTTAGGATGGCAAAGAACTGGAAACGAAAGGGAAGCCCATCAGTTTGGGAATGGCTGAACGAGTTATGTCATGAATGTGATGGAATCCTATTGTGCTTTAAGAAATGATGAAAGGGATAGTTTCAGAGAAATCTGAGAAGACTTGAATGAACTGATGCAGAATGAAGTGAACAGTACTAGAAGAATAATTTATACAATAACTACAGCATTATGAAGACGAATTTTAAAAGACTTAGGAATTCTGATCAACACAATGACTTACCATGATTTCAGAGGGTTTCGTCACAATTCCATGATGAAACATGCTATCCACCTCCATATAGAGAGGTGATGGATTCAGAGTGTAGATTGAGGCATTTGGGGGGCGGGCTGGAGGGTTGAAGGGAATTTGTTTTACTTTGCTTTGGAGTTCTTCTTTTCCCATTAACGAATAGTGATGAGAAGTTTAGCTTGAACCTTAGAACTACAAGGTAGCAGACAGATATAATTCTAGCTCAGTACCTGCTCTGTTTGAGAAGGGCAGAGTGGCCAAATGTTTGGCCCCAACCTTCTGCTTCTCCTCCTGGCAGAGATTAAAGTCCCCCTTGGAGAAGGGTGGAGGGAGAAGAGGCTAGAGGTGTCTGTTCTGCCTCTCTTCAAGCCACACAGTGATACCCCCATGCCACATATGGAGAACAGCTTCATTATACTTGCTTATACATGTTGGTAACAGTTTCATTTTTCTTGCTTTGTCTGAGGTGGGGGAAAGGGATGAGGGAGGAGGTAAGTGGGATAGACTGCACCTAAAAATAAAATAAAATAGAATTTAAAAAATCATAAAAAAAATCATTGGTGACTTTGGAAAGAGCAGTTTCCATTTAATGATAAGGTCAAAAGCCACATTGCAGAGGGTTTAGAATGAAATGAGAGAAGAGGAAGTGGAATTACTGAGAGAAGACAGCTTTCCCAAGGAGCTTAGCCATGAAAGGAAGGAGAAATATGGGAAGATGGAGACTAATGGTGGGATTAAGTGACAGGTGAAGGTTGAAGGAGTCTGGGTGTATGTGTAGGGAGCAGGGAAGGAGCCAGGAGATGGGGGGAGATTGAAGAATAGAGAGTGGGGGTGATTGTGGGGCAATCTGCTGGAGAAGAAGGTGCGGGAATATAGATGGGATGAAATGGATGTAGAGGAGCTGTCCTTGGCAAAGAGAAGGACCATCTCTTCATGGGAGATAGGAGTGAAGGATTAAGGTGAGATTCTTAGCTGAGACTGTATAGGGAGGGCAGGGAAAAAAGGAATAGAATTCAGCCAATCTAACTCAACTTGTGAAAGGAGAGCAACCCAATGGCTCAACCGCCCCTTTTGTAGGCCATCTGGCAGGAGGCTATGGGGCTATTTAACAATGGAACAGAAAAAAGTGTGTTGATTAGACAGGTATTCTGGGCAGTCTCACTATAAAGAGGAAGAATGCTTCCCCAGAATGGCGTAGGACAGAAAGCAACAGCAAAAACCAGAACTGCTTCAGATGACAGTCATGGGGGTGGGAGTGGAGTGGAAGGGGTGGGTGATTGGGGGAGGGGGTGATGCTGCTGGAGGCAGAACTGGATATTTAGGCAGGATGAATTTCCAGCCAAAATATTAGGCAGATCCCTGTCTAGAAGTGTCCATTTTTTGGGGGGATCTGCTCCTTTCTCCCACTGTATGAGTCAGTAGAAGAGCTCCCCTTTGGTGATGGAGGGCATTGGAGGGGATGGGGCCCTTGGGAATGAGTTTACCGAATGGTTTTCCCCATCGTTTACTATTCTGTCTCAGATACTTTGCCATTTGATTTATGTTTCCTGCATGGTCTATTGGTAGAGCATGCAAATAAGAATGAAAGAAACAGATCTTTGAGTTCCAATTTTCTGAGATGTCAAAAGACTGCTTTTGAGTTTCATGATCTGGAACTTTTGCTTTTTCTAAGGTATTTCCTGTAGTGGAGTAGAGATATAAGTTTTTGTATAAAGAACATATAGAGTAATCAAAATATTTTGCCATTATGTGACCTAAAATAAAATTTAAATTTTGAAATAAAATAGAAGCAGTTAAATATTATTTTACAAAAATTCTTTTTAGAAAGTGAATGTATCGGTCATGGAAAATAATTTCAGTACTCCATTTCACTTAGTTTTCCTACTGATTTATTACATGTTTATTAATTTAACACAACACTAACACAATATAGACATTCCTTATTTTAAGTAAACCCATTTTACAATACTTTAGAAGGACAGAATTCATCAGCTGTTCTATTCTTTGAATTCTTTACAACATTCGAAAAAACTCAGGACCACGAGGGTGAGCCATTTAAAAGGAAGCAGACTACAACAGCTGAAAGCACCCCCCAACCCCCCACCTCCCCACCCCTACCCCCCCAACAATCAAAATTAATCACAAATACTATTTTTCACTTTTATGCAAATACAATTAATTATTCAATTTATGTAAATATAAGTGTATACTTTTATATTCATGCTTAAAATTTATTCACGTAAAATTGACTTTCAGGAAACAACATTTACATTACATTGAACAAAAGTCAAAACCTTGTTGGTATTTCCAGAGACAGTCCTAGGACAGTCCTTGTTTGAACAGTGTTTTTCGCATCATGGATGAAAATATTTACATTTGGTTTCCAAACCTTTCCAGTACAGTCTGAAATAACTCCTCTGGTTTAAGCACAAATATGGAGGGAAAGGGTGTTCGTCCATGTATAAGACTGTGAATGGTCTGTATGCTAAAAGCTAGCAGTCACAGGTGGAAAATCAGAGCCTTGGGTGTGGTTCCCTGCTTCTGAATGCTGGACACCTAAAAAGAGAGTCTAGCCATGGCTAACTCTCCTTTCGGATTCTTGAATGTCAAATGGAGCCAGCAAGATACTCCAGGGAACAAACGTAGCAAAAAGTCTGTGTGTTAAAAACATACAACTTACTAATGGTTTAATTTTGCTTCACTACCTCTATTCTTTTTTTTTTCTGTCTTTCACCACTCAATGAATTAATTCCAGTTTGAAAAATCGTTCTCTTGTGTTCTGCACATGCATTTCCAGCTTTGTCTCCTTTCTCCTTCCCCTCCCCCTTACAACTTTGGCCTTTGCAATTCTTGTCCATGTCTTCATGTCAATTTCCCATAGAGGATCTACACAGACTGGGCCTTTTTCCATTCAGTGGGTACCAGGGCAGGACCCTTGCCTCTTTTACCTCAGGAGATGTTGGCCTCAGGAAAATCGTTCTCTTTGCCCCACTCCTTTCTCAGTCTCTTCCCCTCTCTGTTCCATTTGTGAGCAAAGGACACCTTAATCATGGTGAGAAACACAAGGGTAGTACTTATTACTTATATATGTATATACATAGAGATAGAGAAATATATATAATCACATTTATCTCACATATTCACAAAAGTAGCGTTTATATACCACTATCACAATGTCAAGGAAAAAAGAACACCATAAATTTGCTAGTGAAGTTAGCCATAATAAAGAACCCGCAAACCTCTAATGCTCTCCCGAGTGCCCAGAAATCACCTTCAGAATCACCACAGAGGTCACTTTGCACTTTCTGTAATTCAATCTGCCCGAATAAACTTATTCACACAAAGGTGGAAGAAGCTCCCAGGAATAGTTGTATTTTAAAACAAGATATGGGAAGAGGGCAATGCTCAACTCAAAATAACATCCATTGTGGTGGGATTTCAGATATTGTGGCTGTCTCACGGTAATGATATTTTTGGACAGGGCAGGATTGGGGGAGGTTGGCCTTCCCTGTGCCCTTCATGTGACACCATGTAGGTGACCACCTATTGCATTTTCACATAAAGTCAGCCCATCATGGAAACTTTTTAACTGAATGGAAGGAAAAAGTAAGACTCCATTGTGTCTTATTACAGAAGCAGTAAGACAGATGAACCAAACCCTAGTATGTTATTCATACTTGCCAACCTCAAAACATTCCCATTTTCATTTCCATTAAACTTTTGGAGATAGTAGAAGAGAGAACAATGGAAAATAGGAACATTTCCCATCAATTATTAGGAGAACTGGTTTTTTAAAAAGAAATTGTATAAAAGATTCTTTATTATCTCTATTTTTGCTACTTTATTTTTATACAAAGAGAATAATATAATTTGCATCTGTATGGCAGAGCAGAGATGCAAATAGCATAATTTGGTGTCCATCACATGAGTACAAAGTGAGGAAAGTTAGAAATGTCATCCATAGTCCATGAAGGATTTGGGTCCTATAAGTTAAAGAGTTTGGTTTTTTCTCTCTCTCTTTTTTTTTCCCCCAAAAGCAAGATAGCTTATTTTAAGGGTACATGTGATTGTCAGGGTGGGTATCATAGACAAAGGAAATGTTTCTGTATACATGCTGTTCTTGGGATGCCCTCCTTCCTCACCACTATCTAACTTGACTTGAGGCTCAGCTCAAATGTCTGTCACCTCCTGAGTAGGACTTTTCCTCATCCAGGTGTAGGTGCCCTCCCAGACAACATTACCTCACATTTATTCTGTATATAGTTTGTATTGAATCGTCTATATGTATGTTGTCTCCTCTAGAAGAATATAAGCTCTTTGAGGACAGGGAGTAGCTGACTTTGTAATCTGCAGAGCCTAGCCCAGCCTCTGGCCCATAGTAGGTGCTTATTAAATGCTTCTTGACTGAGTAGTAGATGACCTCAAAGGGCTCTTCTATCTCTAAATCTACAATTCTTTGATTCTGGGGGAAGTGTTTAGTGTGATATAGAGACATTGGGTATCTGAAATCTGCCTTGGCATTCCAGATCTGTCAGGTACTAGCCATGTGTCTACAGACAAATAGTGTGCTTTCACTCAACCACCATTTCTTCATTTCTGTTACAGACACTACCTATCTCATGGGGCAGTTAGTAGGAAAATGCTTTCTAATGCTTGAAGCACTGTCGAAATGTGAGTTATGTGTGACCTTTTTTGAAAGGAAATATTCCTGAAAATACATCTTCCTATATATTGAGTTTTACATTTTTAGTGCCATGTTGATTTCATTCTCTTACTCCTTCCCTTTCTCTTTGTAACCATGCGTGTCTCCGCCTACTAAATGTTTTCTCTCTAAAATTTAGAAAGTTTTAGAACATCAAATTTTTACTCACAAGAATACAACACACACACACACACACACACACAAGAATATTTGACTGGACAAGAACCTTCTCTTAAGTATCTCCAATACAATTCAAAGATGAGTAATTAAGTGTTATACTCCTCCCCAGAATTCCTAGCTACCCATACACTTGGAAAAAGCTTGATGCCTGCCCTCTTTAACTGATAACAGAGGAGGCACTATCCTCTTCCTTCTTAGCACCATACCCAGTGAGCAAGGTCACACTAATCTCAGAGACCTGGGTGCTCCCAGTAGTCGAAGCAAGGCCTGTGGCCAGGTTCCTGGTGACAGTTGAACGCCTGGGACATTTGTACTTGAAGCAAAAGATTTGTGTTTTAAAATGCTGCCGGAAAGTTTTGCTCAGCCAGTAAAGAGCAAAGGGGTTTACACAGGAATTGCTAAAAGCCAGTGCCCGAGAGAAAATGGTGGCCAGAAGATGAAGGGTAGAAGAATCAATGGAAGAATGGTAAGTGAAGGACCGATAGAGGTAAAGGATATGATTAGGCAGCCAGCAGATAGCAAAAAACCCCACCAGCACCAGCACTGTCTTGGCAACTCTCTTGCGGGATTCAATCTATGAAGCAAAGGGAGAAGAAAGGTTATTTAGCAGGTTAAGACAAACAGAGCATTTGGGGTACTTAGAACCTAACCAGGTCACATGGAATACCACAATGTAGCCCATCATACCAATTAATTAAAAAGCAAAGCGTTGAGATGTCTGCTGTGTACATAGACCTCTCTCCATATGTTGACAGAAGGAATCAAAAGATCTCCTGGTTTTTAAAGAGAAATATGAGATTCTTTTTCCCCTATCAAATGAGACTGGGCCTTGGTAACATTTCTATTCATTCTGTTCTTGTCTATGAGAGGTTGCCATACCTGGTCCTATTAACGCTCAGTTACATTTCTGGGAAGCCATGTAATATTGCCCAAGGTTTGCAGACAATGAGAACTCCACAAAAGTGGAATGGGCTCTTTTGGAAGGTAGCAAGTTCCCCCATCACTGGAAGTCCTTATGCATTGGTTAGATTAGAGGATCTTGTTGGAGATCCCAGGATTTATAGCTGGAAGGGATCTTAGAGATCATCTAATCTAACCCTGTAAATGGTGATTGGTCTTTATTGTTTAAAGCTAGCCTGAATTTCAGAAAACAACCTAAAATCATTTGGATCTAAATCTAGCAAATAAGGTGGCTAATCAAACTAGGGAAGGCCAGGTTTGGTCAAAAACAAGATGGGATTTGTAACAAGATTTATTCTTTGAGGTTGTAAATGCCTCTCAAAGAAGAGTTCCCCCAATGGTCTTTGCCCTGGCAATGTGGTAGGAATCCATGTGTAGCCTCCTGGAGGTACTGCTTGAAAGAAGGTAATACTCACTAGTCAGAAGGGTACTGGCCCAGGGATCAGAAGGGCTGAGCTCTACTCTCTGCTCTGCCACTTTTGGTCATGTGTCCTTGGGCAAGTCACCTTCCCTCCTGGGGCTTCAATTGTGGTATACAACAAAGAATTGGACTACCTGGTCTTTAAAGTCCCCTTCAGCCCTAAAGACCCATTATCCTTCTAGGCCTAGCATTCTGTAATAAATAATGACACATTTCTACAGTCACCTCAGTTACTTCATCTGTAAAATGGAGATTATGCTGGGCACTTCCTATCAGACGGGCACATTGCAAAGAAAGCATTTGGCAAGCCTTTACGTACTGTATGCAATGGGGGATTCGTGTGTTAGTATTCAGTAGCTCCCCTCTCTGAACTCTGTCACTTTGGTGGCTGCCCTAGTCTCTGCTTCCAGTCTCCTAAGTGATGGGAAATTCCACTGTCTAGCTCAGCTTTGGGCTATCTGGTAATGTCAGCTCTGATTCATCCATACCTGCTTGCGGGCATGTTCTTGCTCTTCGGCGGGTATTTCGATGGTGCTTTTGTAAAGAGCTTTGGCAATCAGAACATAGTAGACAGAAATGACAGAGAGGGGAATAATGTAGAAGATCAAGAAGCATAGGAGAGAATGAGCCTCTTGCCTGTTCTTTTCAGAAACAGGATAAGGAGCACAGGCTTCAAAAGACTCATTTTTTTCAGGATTATAGAAAGGGTATAAATCTGAGAATACAGCCTCTGGGATAGCAAGAACCATGGAGAGGATCCAGATAAAGCCAACTTTTGCACACGTCTTCAAGAAGGCATCAGAGGCTGGCAGTTCCAGGGGCTTCACTATTGCCTTGTATCTGCAAGTGTAACCAGAGGCAGAGAGAGTCAGAAACAAGAGCAGAAAGGTTCTATGGCCTGGTGGGCAAGGGTATGATACCATACCGTACCATACCATACCATACCATACCATGCCATACCATACCATACTGTGTCATACCATACTATATGCCATACCATGCCATATGATATGAGCCAATATGAGGCATTGGCCTGCAACTAATGACTCAGCAAACTTTGCTTAGGTACTAAGGGATAGGAAGTTTGATGACAGATTACCTGTCCTAAAGGTACTCAAAGTCTAACAGAAGGATAGGCCACCAACCCAGGTTGCTAAAATATATCATATGTATCATATTGCTTGCTTTCTCAATGGGTTTGGAACTCAAAATTTTTTTTTAAATGAACGTAATATATAACCCATTTAAAATTCTTACCTTTTTAGTGAGGGGGAGGGAGGGAGAGAAGGAAAAAGTCTGGAACTCAAACATTTTTTAAATGAAAGTCAAAAATTATCATCACGTGTAATTTGAAAAAATGCTATTAAAAATAAAATAAAATCAGCATGAAAAGTTGAAAAAATTAATGTTAAAAACTAGGTGGCACATTGGATAGAGCACCGGCCCTGGAGTCAGGAGGACCTGAGTTCAAATCCAGCCTCCAACCAAACACTTGACACTAGCTGTGTGACCCTGGGCAAGTCATTTAACCCCAATTGCCTTGCCAAAATATATGTATATATCCTATAGCATTGCTAAGAGCATTGGATTTGAAGCCAGGGGCCTTGAGTTTTAGTACCAGCCCTAACACTAGCTAGCAGTCATTGGCAAGCCACTTCCGCTGTCTAGGCCACATTTTCTGAATCTATGAAATTGAGAATATTGGACTAGAGCAGGGGCTCTTAACCTTTCTGTGGGTGTTGGCCCCCTTTGGCAATCTGGAGCCTATGGACCTCTTCTCAGAAAAATACTTTTAAATGTATACACTAAAATGCATGGGATTGTAAAGGAAACCAATTATATTGAAATCAAGTTCTGAAACTGTTTCTTCAAAAAGAATTCATGGACCCCAGGCTAAGGCTAGTCACCTCGAGCTTGAAGTCCTAAGATCCTAGGTTCAAAGGGAATTTTCACAGGGCTTGAGAGCTGCAAGGGACCTTAAGCATCATTAGGTCAACCTCTCTTTCAATCCAAGTTTACAAACTGGGGCCTAGCATGGAGGAATGACTTGGCTAGAGTCACATAACTAGCTAGAGGCTGACTACAACCAAGATCTGCTGGCTTTAAACCCAGTGTTTTTTTCTACCACATCAGGGCAACCTCCCACTCAGATCAATACAATCTCAGAAATGAGCTGCCACCATTTATCAGCTGGCTGATCTGATTTGGATTGCTGGTTCCTAAATAGATCACATCTCAATTTTTTTTCTTGTGGCACCCCCTTTACCTATTATGTGAGGTGTTCTAGGTTTGGGATTTTAGATCCTTACATATATTTTCCCTTTTTTGAGGTCAATAGTAGGTTCTTAGGGTGTTGATTCCTGTGTGATAGTAACTCAGTGTGTAACCTTTCTCTGAAAGGCTTTCTTTTGGTGGGGTCAAAGGATGTCCTTTCTCTGGGGACAAGAGGTGAGTAGGATATCATGAAACATCCCTCCCATTCCAGACCAGTGCAGGCATAAATTTTACCTTGCCTATTAGTTTAAATTCGTCTGCCTCGCCCCATTTGTGTCACAGTTATGGTGGCAGAGGCTGAAGGGCCTTGTGTCAAGGTGTGCAGCAGGCATGCCCCTTGTTACTTTCTTCCTTTGAAAATTACCTTTTCATCTGGCAAGATGGTAAAAGAGGTAAGCCCTTGAGTAAGTGGTTCTCCAAATTAGATATGAGCCCCACTGCAGAAAGAATAAAAGAAGGAAAGATTTTCCTCCTTCCATGATTCAGGAGGGCAAATTCTTACCCACTGTAATCCTAGGGAGCTATCCCTGTAGGGACCATCGGGCATTGCTGGCTTGTGAGTTTCTCATGGGTTTTTAAATTTCAGTTAGCATTTAAGTCTTATTTTTTTTTCTGTGCTCTAAGAGTAGGACTCTTACAGAACAAATATATAAATACACATGGCTAAGACCATTCTAATACTGAACATCACAATCTGACCATGAGAGAATGTCCTTTCCATCAGTTGCTAAAGGTCAAAATGGATGAATTTATTTCTGCAAGATCTAAGATGTTATTGACCAGCTACAGAGAAAACAAATAGAAAAAGCCATGACATTACCTAGCACTCCCAGGAAGCCAAAAACCTCATTGCTTTATTGCCAGAAGTGACAGCTTGGCTGCTTGATTAATTCCAACCTAATCAGATGCAAACATCTGTATGTTAAAGCCTCCTATCAGTGGTCAATTTCACACCTGTGCTGATATCCTGGCATTGTCTCCTATGTGCCACTAGGTTGCACTAATGTATAAGGTATGGCTGTTCAGGGGCACCTTAAGCCAGATACCTTGATGCACCACAGAAAGACATAATTTTCAGTATTGCTGCAGACAATTATCCTTCTGGGAAAGTCTTTTTTCCTCTGTATATACTATCATTCTGTGAGAAATCATCTCCAAAAAGGTAATTTTCAGCCTCTCCCTAGACTGTAGAGCAGTAATTTGAAGTTTAGAGCTTTTAAAAACTTTTGTTATCCTAACATGAAGCCCTACCGCAGCCGGCTAAGTCCAGGTCAAAACCTTCCCTTCTTTCCCACAACTTTCCTCCCTTGACAGACATGACAGAGAAAGAAAAACCCACCTGTCAGCACTGAGAATGGTTAGTGTGAACACCGACACACCGACTGAAGTGAGCTGGATGAAGGAGAGAAGCTTGCAACCGAGTCTTCCGAACAGCCACGTATCCGCAACATACCGGGTCGCGTCCACTGGCACACATGTTATTAGAAGCAAAAGATCTCCAAAAGCCAAGCTGGTGATAAAAATGTTTGGAACTGTTTGCATGGACTTGATCTTGAAAAAGACTTTGATGAGAATGGCATTTCCAAGGAGACCCACCGAAATGATCACGGAATAAGTCAAAAAAATGGTACACAGGATTCGTGATCCTAGAGATGTGTCTTCAGTCTTTCCCTTATCTGTAGTATCATTAAAAATACTAGATGCTGAAGGTGCTGTATCATTTGTGATCAAATGGAAAGTCTGGTTAGGTGAATTGAGCTGTCCTTGAGACATTTCCTCCAAAAGAGGCTTTAGTCTTTTATGTGTCTTCTGCTCAGTTCAAATACGAGTTGATCAGTACATCGAATGCCTATATCAAGTAAGAAGGGGATTATAGGAACAGAACTGGATCTAGTAGACTGTATGGAAAGAGAATTCAAGATATCTGAATACAGTAACTCATTTCTTTCAGTTTTGTGTCTCCCAGCATGCTTGGCTAATGCTCACCGTTCAGGCACTGAAGAGTGTGGGAGGTGGAGGAGTTTTATTGGTGTTTCAGTGACAGAGGGATAGGGAGGGGTTGGGGGGAAACGTTCTGTAGTTCCTTATTCTTCCCTGTTGGGGAAGTCTTATGAATAACCAGACAACATTTTAAAAAACCACTTTTTTTTTTTTATTGGAGAAGCTCTATGTCCTCATCTATCCAGTTTTTAAAAACTGCATAGATACTGTGAGAAATGCTTTCTCTCTAGAAAAGGACTCATTTATTTACATGCAATTAGAGTGGTCACTGGAGTTTTCTCTTAAGGGGCAACAAAGCATGTGGGACCCTTCATGGCACCAACTTGCATTCACTTTCCCAGGTTTAATATTAAAGAGACTCTGACCCAAAAGTGCACATTACTCACAGCTGTCATTTACATAGTTCAAGGACCTATGATTTCAGCATTATTCAGAATTCCCTAGGCCAGTGCATATTACAACCTGTCTGTAACATTCAATCTAAACTGCATTGGCTCTCAGATGGTTAAGGGACTTGCCTGTGGTCACATAGCTAATAAGTGTCAGAAATGAATGTGAACCCACTTTTTCCAGATTCTAAGTTCAGCCCTCTAGCTACTACTGCATACTCACTCGAGTTGTGGATGCTTCTGTGATCAAAAGGGGCCAGAGACTCTTCTTAATTGAGAGTTTCACTATATATCATAGGATCAGAAATGTAAAGCCATCAGAGATCTTAGAGGACATCAGATTCCAAACCCCAAATCTTAGGAGATGATGAGAAAAGCCCAGACAGAGTCAATAACTTACCCAAAATCAACTAAGTTATGAGCAAAGGAGCCAGGATTCGAACCCTGGTCCTCTGACTAAATCCTATGTGCTTTCCACTACTATATTGTCTTCTTTCAGGATACTCTCAGTTACTCCTTTTGTAAGCAGACAGTTCACAAAGTTCAGAAAATGAAGAGATTGAATTACCGCTCAATGAAAACAAGCAGAACTCATATAAAGTCTCATGGGAAATGGTAATGCCTATCTTTGGGCATTTCTTTCCCAGATGTGCTCATAAGAGGCCCTCACTCACAAGCATTGCCATGGGTCAGGTTCCTAGTGGGTTACTGCCTCTAAAGTAACTGCTCAGTATTCTTTCTCATCAAGGTTTTGGGGGTCACTAGTTGGTGTTCCACTCCATGCTTCCTTTGGTGATCTATCTGTCACTTATCTGCCTGTAATTCTCAGCTCCTAGAAGATGGTATCCGTCATTCCTTTGCCTTCTTCCTTTGGCCTATGTCACCAAGAACCATCGAGGCTGACTGGGCCAGAGGAAGACCTGCCGACATTAGGAGTGCCCTTCTCCCTTGCCCACTCCCCTGCCCTGGGATGCCACAACCCATTCTCGCATGGGTGGATGAGAAGGAAGTCACCAATTCTCTTCCTTCTGGTGAGATGGAGGACAACCAGGCCTTACCATCTGCCCTGCTTCGACTCTAAGCATCTGACCTACTGAAATAATTACTTAGGACCTCTGGCCTTTGCCATATGATCCACAGTTGCACCCTTAGCATTTTCAGGCTTTTCTGTCCATCCTATAGCTGAACTCTCTTTTGTGTGTTGCGCCCCCCCCCCATTATAATGAAAGTTCTTTGAAAGCAATGATTGTCTTATTTTTCCTCTTTGTACTCCCAGCAGTGCTTACCAAATGCTTATTCAGTCAGTTGGGTGGACTTCATTAGAACTCAGAATTAGAGCTCAAATCAGTGTGTTCTGGGCGGCCTTCTCCTGTACTATTGTTTTCATGAGCTCTTGCCTCCCACCAACACCCTCCTAGGGATCAGGAATACCCATAACCCCTGACAACTTCCGAGCAATTCTGCATCCCCACTACGGAACTGAGTCTAAGTGCACTTCACAGTCAGATGCCTTTTCTCCCCCAGCACCAGAGCAATGAATCTTCCTTAGCACTTCCCATAGGTCTAGCGGCCAGGTACACTCTCAATTCCCTTATTACCCCTCTGAAACTGACTGGGTGAGGTTCTTCAAATTACCTATGACTGCTTTCTTTACCTCCCAGAGAAGAGGGATGGACCTGTGGAAAGCCAAGCATTCTCCTAGCACAGCCATGTGCACCAAGGGGAATAAAAATTTTTCTCTATAACAACACAGGGTGTCCCAAAAGTTTTTGTGCAGTTTTAAGCTATTAAAACTTAAAAATGGGGGCAGCTAGATGGTGCAGTGGATGAAACTCTGGCTTTGGAGTCAGGAGGCCTGAGTTCAAATCTGGCCTCAGACACTTGACACTTACTAGCTGTGTGACCCTGGGCAAGTCACTTAACCCCAGTTGCCTCATCAACCAAAAAAAAAAATTTTAAAAAATTAAAGTTAAAACTGCACATTATCTCATTTGATTTTCACCACAACCCTGTGAGGTAGGCACTATACAGCTCCTCTTATCCCCTCTTTACAGGTGAGGAAACAGAGCCTAAGAGAGGGTAGATGACTTAGCCAGGGTCACACAGCTTGGAAATGTTAGAGGCAGCTTTCAAACTCAGGTCTCTCCTGAGTCCAGGTTCAGTGTGCATTCCATACGGCCTCTTTATATTTTCACAGGACTGATGTCATTTCTGAGAGGTACCAACTCAGATCACCTAGGTTTAATGACTAACTTTGCCATGCAATGAATTGGAGTCTTTGTATAAATAACTATGACTAAATCTTATGTGATGCCAAAGCAAACTTTGAAAGGGGAAAAATTCACTCCAGGAATAGTAATAGGAAAGTTCAGGAGGGAGGGGGCTTTTGGGGAAAAGAGAATTAGTTCAATTTTGGACATGTTGAGTTTAAGATGGAGGGCACTAGAGATGACTCAGTCTAACCATTCATTTTACATGTGAGGAAATTAAAGCCCAGAGAGATGAAGTGACCTGTGTGAAACTACAGAGGTCTTAAGTAACAGAGATGGGATTAGAATCCAGGTCTTTTCATTCCAAGTCTATTCTTCTTTCTACTAGATGACAATTGCCCCTTAAATGCCCTATGGAAAGAATTCCATTCTATTCCATTCATTTCAATTCAACAAACATTAAGGGAAGGCCATGGGCAAAGCCATGCATGCCATTGGGCTTTGGAGTAGGGAAGAACCATGGTTAGTTCCTACCTTTAACCTGTGTGACTATAGGCAAATCGCTTTACCTCTCAATGCCCTGAGCAATGAATAAGTCCTGGAATATCAAGGAGTATGATTACAAAGTATATAGTCATTTGAAGAAGAGAACATTTACAGCTGGGGGTATCAGAGAAGAACATAGAAAGCCAGGGCTAGAAGGGATTTTGGAACATGGAGAATACTCAGTCATGGAATGTTAGAGAACACAGACTGTCAGAACTGGAAAGGATCTGAGAAAATAAAACATGGAATGTCAGAGCTAGAAGATATCTCAGAGACCAGCTAGTTCATTTTACAGACAAGGAAACCAAGGCCCAGAAGAGGAAAGTGAATTGCCCAAGGTCATACAGTTGTAGACTCCCAGGCCACAGGGTTTTTTCCACTCCTCCATATGACATGTCTACCTATACAGGCATATGGATAGAAATTACTGACTAAATGGATTCATGCTGACGTGTCAAGGACTGACTTTGTCTTTCTCCCGAGGATAGTCTGCATTCTGAAAGAGGAACTGGGAGAAGGCAATATATCAACAAATGAAGCGCTAGTGGCGGAAGCCCATAGTAAAGTGGCAGGAGGGCTAGACTTGAGGCCAGGAAGAAGTGGAAAGAGCTTCCGTGAAGCTGGAATTGACCTTCCTGGCTGGCTGTTACCTCACCTCTCTGTTCTTCACTTTCCTGCTACGTAAGATGGCAAAAATCATACTTGTATTCTATTTCATAAGGTTATCATTTTAAAAAAAAACTGAGTACCTTCTAGAATATTATGTTAACATGAGAGATTATGATTATATTATGTACTATTCTTTTTTTTTCTTTTGTGGTAAGACAATTGGGGTTAAGTGACTTGCCCAGGGTCACACAGCTACTAAGTGTTAAGTGTCTGAGGTGGATCCTCCTGACTCCAAGGCCAGAGCTCTATTCACTGCGCCACCTAGCTGCCCCTATTATGAACTATTCTTACGGTTTAAGAGAAAAGATTTGACCTGGCCCTACCCAAAGGTACATAGTAGCAAGAAGTGTCCACACAATGAAAGTTCAGTTTTCCTGATCAAATCAAATGTCTTAGAGTCAGGGACTCACAGAATCATGGGACCTTAGAGCCAAAAGTGTCCAGTAGGCCTTCTACTTGAAAGGTTACCAACTTCTACTGTAGGATCAGAAATTTCTCTCATTCTTTAGCTGCCCAACACAGGATGGAAGATGACATACAGAGTGGCCAAAATGATCTCTTAGAAAATTAGGGTGGGGGCAGCGAGGTGGCACATGGATAGAGCACCGGCCCTGAAGTCAGGAAGACCTGAGTTCAAATCTGGCCTCAGACCAAACAGTTGGCTCTAGCTGTGTGACCCTGGGCAAGTCACTTAACCCCAATTGCCTAAAAAAAAGGAAAAAAAAAAGAAAATTAGGACCCCAAATAAAAGTATGCTGACACTAAAAATGGGGAGGTGGGGCAGGGGCAAGAGGAGGTAAAGAGAGTGATTGATGGGTGAGTGGGACCTGCCAGCTGGTTGTGGATGGTGATTCATTCACTTGCGTAAGATACTTGACAGGATTTGTCTTGTTATACCAGAGAAGCATATTTCCTAATTATTCACTTCAATTTCCTCAGTGCCTCAACAAGCCAGATACAATAGATTGGATTTACTCTGTGTAGACTTCCCCAATGGACTTTGATATTTGAATATACAGATGTGAATATTGATTTCTCACTCTTTTAGAACATCTGTGACTGAATGAATGGAAAGGCATTTATTAAACACTGTGTGCTAAGTGCTGGGGAAACAGAGAAAGACAAGATTGTCCCAGCTCTCAAGGAGGGCTTT